ACTTGATGGGATTGATTTAGAAGCCAACCCGTATTTTTTATTGGAGTGTTTCTCAAGGACAGACAGAATATCACGCTAGTAACAGAAAATAATAGTAATGAAAACTGAAATGCGATATTTAAATGGACGATTCTTTCTACGGCACCCGTTCAAATAAAAATAAATGTAGTGTTATTCACATCACATAGATGAAGTAATCAGAAAAGGTAACCGAATTATTACGTACATTAAGTCTATTATAAACAATCAGGACGACTTCAATAGAGTGTACTATGGAGATATACTATGGAGAACAATAGGTCTACCAACCGTAAATTATGCATGCTCTGTATGGTTCTGTGCCAAACTAGAAAATCTCCAATACCAGATGGCTCGATATTTTATGTGCACCGCGAAATGTAGCTAAATATGGAGATCTAGGCTGGCAATCAATCGAGTCAGTTCAAACAAATTTCATAATACAATTTTTTAACAGATTCAAAAACATGGATGAATAAAAATGGCCACGAACTTTATTCAAAGCAATTAATCATGTTGAACAGTCATTAAAATGGAAATGGCTAGATACAGTAAAAGGTATATTAAATAAATATGGTCACTCAAGAATGTACAATACCGAACCTCAAAATGGCTGGATGAAAGAATTTAAAAAGATTAATAAAGAGACTGATGCTAAAACATGGTTTGAAAAAAAATGGCCACGAACATTATTCAAAGCAATTAATCATGTTGAACAGTCATTAAAATGGAAATGGCTAGATACAATAAAAGGTTAAATAAATATGGTCACTCAAGAATGTACAATACCGAACCTTGAAATGGCTGGATGAAAGAATTTAAAAAGATTAATAAAGAGAACTGCGGCAATTATCTATCGCTTGTAATTTCGGAGCTATGACTGACGAAATGATCAGAGATCAGTTGGTTGAAAAAACGAATTCTCTTCGTATTCGTGAAAGACTATTGCTTGAACCAGAACTTACATTACCTACTGCCATGGAAATTGCAAGACAATGAATATTATTCATCGGATGTTTCATCCTGGAGTTGTCTTCTTTGCCGAAATTTATATCGTTCTGCCACAACGTTTAATTTCGGGTTAAAATGTGCCCGCAATTTGGCAACTGCTTGATCGTAGACATTATCATCATCATTCGGATCAATTTCTCTATCTGGTAATGAGCTGTAAGTTCGTTAACCCTCTGTACCAAGACAATGTACCGTAGTAGTAATGCTCTTCTTCGTTCAGCATTCCATCTGTCGCTTCCCGACGCAAGCATGTAATTTGTAAAAAATTCACACCATTCACGGTTCAAACGTTAACGTAGGTTTGCCTGGAGTAGGTAAAAATGGTGCTAGTGGTGAAATCAATCCCAGCCATTGTATCACTGTGAAGTAAATTTTATCCTCGTCGCCAATTTGTTATGTATTCAGTACCGTGCAAGTATGTATGTATAGTAAAAGACTGACTGAAAAGAATGCACATGTGTATACCTTGACTGCTTAACAACTCCTCTTTATTCACAATTCTACTGACTACTAAGAAAAATAATTCATACAATGTGGCCCAGATGGTACCTGTCAACTTCAAATGAACACAAAATAGATTGATAAGTGAGTAATAATAATAATAATAATAATAATAATAATAATAATAATAATAATAATAATAATAATAATAATAATAATAATAATAATTTTTTGACATACACCATTTATATCGGTGGCACTCAGAAGGTGATGCGTCAAACGTCTTAACTAATACAAATGTAATCTTAACAAAACTAATGAAAATAAAAAAGGTAAAAACAAATTAAGCAAGAAAAAAAAAGTCGATAAGTAAACATATGCACAAATTATACACATGGATATAGGCCTACAAGCATAAATATACTGTACATATACATATACATATATACAATATACATACACACACACACATATATATATATATATATATATATATACAAAAAAAATATCTCAATTTTTTGTGAAACAGTGCTCAATCCCACTGAAAAATCTATCTCTTATACACATCTAGATGTGTATAAGAGACAGATTATGCACTTGTCAATTGTAGTCCAAACTTCCATGGAAACTGCTAAGTGATACGCACGCGTAGTGCTTCCATCAAGGAACCTCATCTCCTTGGCCTAGCTCTCACGTTGCTTCTCCGATTCAGACCTACTGTAGGCTAAACCTTCAAGTAGGTTTTATCCTCCAATCATTTATTAGCGAGGCATTTTCCCAGGACTACGGCGGTGTGGCGGGGACTTAGCCGGGGATGTACATTAAAACGATGCTCCGCATTGCTAGGAGGTGGCCGGGACTCTCACATGCATGTAACCATTTTGGAAATTACATCCCCTGCTAAGTCCCCGCAAGGCCCAAAATGAGGATAAAAATAGGCCAGCAAAAACTTGCCAACTTTCAATCCTCCGTGTTTTTACAAATACTCAAGTTTATGAAGTCATTAACACATTGTACCCTTACAAATCTACAACAACTTTGCTACTATTAGATAGTAAAGAGGCCCACATTTGGCAAAGAGTAGAAAGAGGAGTCGCATGTGGATTATATATTATTG